AGTCAGACAACAGGCGACCGAAGTCCCAGCAATTCACTCTGCCTGCAGTGGTACGAAACATTTTGAACGCCGATTTCAAGTGGATTGTGGTCGGACATGCTACAACGTTGCGGTTAATTGACTTGCCACAATCAGAATGTTCGTGAGGACTCACTCAGCTACTGGAAAGCAGCATCCTCTGGCGACTACAGTTCCGCTGACACTGATGCTGCTCCGTTAGCGATAGTTCATCGTCGCAGCCTAAGCCCACATCGGACGCATGACACCTCCGCCCGAACACACAGCTGCGCTCCGACAATGACCATCTCGCGCCCGGGAACATCCTTGAAATCCCTGGAAAAATTGTTAATCGTCCTATGTGAAGCCATCCCCTAAGTTTGATCCTTGGTACGAAGCAGATATCCGTCTTCCCGAGGAAGGCGTGCTGATTTGCGTTCGCCGATGGCATTCGCACTTACTCAACTCTGACTCCAAGTGGTAAAGAGCTCTCCGAAGGGAGCTTTTTCCACCAGACGATCGGGTACCGGGTGTTGACGTGGCCGACCTCGATCGATAGAGCTAGTAGCAGGCTGGTCGTATCGACGTAACTGGTTAAAGATGTAAAATTTGAATATTGTGGCTTATCTGTTCCGGAACCCGCGGAGACTCTGACAGGATAAGGACAAACACCCGCTAGCGACCGATGCTCCGGCACCTCTACTCGCCTACAGTGGTCGAATCATCTTGAACGCCAATTTCAAGCTGATTTTGGCCGAACATCGTCTACAACATTGCAGTTAGTTGACCCGCCACAATTAGGTTTTCAACAAAGACTCGCCCAACTGACTGGAAGCGGCATCCTCCGACGACTGCAATCCCGCTGACACTGCCCTATTGGCGATAGTCGATGGTTTGCTGTCAATCTGTCACAGCCTGAGCCCACAGACGATGGGACCTCCGCCCGAACACAGGGCTGCGCTCCGACAATGACCACTTCGCGCCCGGGATGTCCTAAGATGAAAAGCGTCAAAACGCACGCGTCCAACACTGAAACGATAGAAGAGCGAGATGAGATAATCGAGCTACGCCCAAGACGGGCGACAGAACTGTCGCGCTTGGTGGATATAGGCTGTCCGCCTTCCCGTCTCGAACCTTCCAGCATGATACCTATGACAGCTCGACAAGCATTATGGGCTCTCTGGCATGGTACTGCCAGGACGAGCCACAGGAACGATAATTATTTGGCACATCCAGCACGCGAGGGTCTGGTAGCAGCGGCGCTTTGACCCTCTTGGTGCATGCGCCCGAGCCTTTGCCGCCACTCCACTTTAGAAGATTCCCTATATGTCCGTCTGCGGAAACGAAGCGATGACCGGTGGGGCCACACAGATCGCGGCAGGCGCGGCAGGAAGCCGCAGCATAGGCATCGTGCGTGCGATGGCAACACAGCACGTCCCGCTCCCGCGTGCAATTCGACATTCCGTTCTTGCGGATGATGAATGGAAGCAGAGCTATCTACACGTTTCACGTTGTCAGCGCAAAGGTCGACGATAACGAAAAGCTACTCACGAAGAGCAAGGACTGTAAGAGGTTTACAGAAGGTCTAAAGCAGGCTTACGAGGACGGTCGGCTAGAGGGAAGATCGTATATCCGCAGCATTGACCTTCTGACCACGTCCGATCCCACGCACCGGATGGCAGCACAAACGAATAACGAGTGGGCACCTCAGGTAACCAACGAAATCTAAATGGTAAAATACATAGGCGTGTTTTGGGGCATGACGGTAGTCGAGCGCATAAAGGAGCGGATACGGTCGACTGGGTATTAAAAGAACTGGGGGTAGTAGCTCGGGAAGAAGAAGAAAAAGTTGAAAGGTCCAAATGCGAGAATGTAAAGACGTGCGAGGATGAAGAAAGCAGATTAGAGTCAGTGTGAGAAGAGTAGCGAAAAAAAAAAGTATCCACTCCGTTCAGAAAATGAGCGAGGCAGCGCAAGCGGTGCCAAGCGAGAAGACCAAACCGACCAGCCCTGCCGGGGTCCACGTCCTCTCTCCAGCGTTTCTCTTCTTCAAGCCGCGCTTCCGCGAGACAGAGCCGTCGGAAGACTCGACTGGGGGTGTAACATTGAAGAGCGGCTGCGTGGGAAGCATGTTCGGGGTAGCGGAGAGCTGGAACTGTGGTGCCAGCGGCGTGCCATCGAACTGGAAGAGATGCAGCTTGGGGCCGTCCGTAGGATCCAAAAAGATTTGCCACATCACGTAGAGTTCGGTGTCGTTGTAGCTCTGAATGAAGTTCGACTCCGCACCGCACGGGTCCTGGATCTGCTGGTAACCATCGCCGAAGGGGGTCATGACGATTGAGCCATTGCCCAGCAGCTGGAAGGTCCCGTGCACCCAGTTCATGACACCAGTAATGCACGTCGGTTCAGAGCCTGCGCCATCTCAGTAGGGGCTCCCGCATATAGGCGGATACTCACCGTTGCTATTGAAGCGATACCGTGCGATCTCATAATGCCCAGCTTCATCGCTGCGGGAATCGTTAGTCTGAAGATGTTTGAACAGAGACAGGAGACCCACAAAGAATACGAGATACCAGTGTTAACGGGGTAAGTGAAGGACTGGTTCAGAGGGTCAGCAAACCCCTGCAAAAGGTTGTCAGCCAGTGAAGTAAGAGAGATCGACGACGGAGCGCACGGGTCCAGTTGAGACCGCCTTGCTTCCCGAAGACCATGTCCCAGTGATGGGTGTAGCATTGTGTGCGCTGTTGTAAACAATGTCCTGGCCAAGGGCAGGGAGAGCGGCGAGGACAAGCGGGACGAGTGATGTCAGAAGCATATTCCCGGGCGAGGTGGCGCGACGAGGCCCAAACGAGTAAAAGATACGAGGATGCCGTAGGCGACGGCGACGACTGAAGGGATGGTAAGGACGAGAAGAGGGTCGAGGACGCTGCGCGCGATGACGGCGGTGGGTAAAAGAACGTGTTCAGCGTTGCAGGTGTGGGTTGCTCCTCATTCAGGGAGTTTGGTCGTTGCACCCTCATCGGGTATTCAGTTCGCACGATTTTGATAGACGCCTCAAATTTCATTCGTGGATACGAAATTTTGACGTTCGCTTTGTTTCTCGCACTTCCCCTCATATATTCTCTCTCCATGCGACCACTCCCCATGCACATGTGGAAAGTAACTAACAAGGGATCTCAGGCTCAGGATGGGTAGGGATTACTTTATTTCGATACCTCGAAGCTTTTATCTTTGGAAAATTGAGGCGTCATCGTCGTCGGAGAGTAGAGTGAGTGCTCCACCTTATCGCTGTAGAGGATGCAATCACTACGGATGTAAATCGTCTGCGGACAACACTTCCGAGAGCGCAAAAACCCCATGTGGATTTTTCCGTTGCCTTCCTTCTGACTCTTCCTCTTTTATGTCGGCTTAAAGACACAAGCTGACCGGGTCTCGTTCAACAGGTGCTCACGATTGCCATGCTGTCCTCCTGACGAGACCGCTTGCGACCTGTCTACGAGCTGTAATATTCTGTATCTTTTCAGAATGAATAAACGTAAGTTATTTTTAGTGCACGCCTCAAGTGCGCGCTTTGAGGCCGCCGCCAGAACATCAGCACCGCCCATTCACCGTCCCGCTCCCGCAGGTGCGATATCGCGCTTGAGCGACGGATGCACGCAACAAGATATTTGGGAGATGGTTCTCGACGCTTATCCAAGATCTTCGGAGAAGTAATGGTGGCAGCTCCCTGTCCCTTGACGTGATGGAAGGCCAGCCGGCCAGCGAGAAACTAATCGTGCAGCAGATCCCGCATTGCTACAAAAGAGAGTGAATTGAGTTCTCCTTCTAGGTGGTTTCGAGCATTCATACCGCACTACGCGCGACATCCTGTGCTGATGATGCCTTCTCAAATATACCAGATCTATTATAGCCTGTGTCGCATGCTGTTGCAATGAGCAGACAGAGGGCGCTCAGGCATTTTTCGCAAAACAACCATTGAGCTTCTCGATATCTGTATCGTATTCTTGACGTTTACAATTCGGGGCGTATGCGGCCTTGCTGGGGCATCGCCAGGTAGTGTCGCAGGATCTCGGCATGATATGCAGTTTCATCGTCTCTTGACGGTCAATGTGCACATCTAAGATACGGTACAGAGAGACACATGCGTTTTAACTCGACGAGTCCTCTACGTTCGACGTTCCAACATCTCCTCAAGAGGAGCAGAACCACTAAGTCCTGGATCTACCTAAGTGAAGAGCGACTCTAAGTATATACGTTTGACATCGCAAGAGGAACGTACCCTGCAAGTTGCAGATCCACATGGAGGCTGCGAGACGTGGCACGAGCCCACAGCCCACGAGTCGCGACAGCTTCTTCGCCGCGGGCCAGCGACTCCGTGTTCAGGAACGACGGTCCCACCTCCCGAAATTTGCAGAGGCCGGCTGTCGATCCCAGTCAAATGAGAGCGCAGTCGCAGAGCTCGCTATCGAGGAAAATCTTTAGCATAGCGAAGATGAAGTGCACGGAACGCGAGGCGACAGGGAAGCTTCTCACCGATGAGCTGAGCGTCCACCCTAAAAGTTCGACGTGACAGCCGAAAGATCTTCGTCTGCACGAAACGGTCTACCTTTCGGGCACACGCTGGTCGCTTCCGTCGTCGCACACAGCATCGGGGGTCCAGACCATGGCGTTTCGATTTGAATGCCAAAGTAAATGACAGAAGGGCGACGACGGTCTCGGTCGTAGGGTCGACTTGGGCCTCACGAGGCTACGATACCCATGCCACTCCTCACGAGACTCCCAGGAGCAACCGAGGGCCCAGTCCGCATCGCCTCGACGCCTCGACCGGTGACGCGGCGATCGTCGTCGCCACAGCGCAGGCAAATGAAGCCTCGCGCTGATTCGCCAGGTCCGTTCGGGCAAGCACTCGTCGCCGTGCATGCCCGTTCGAGTCGCGAGACAGATCTGAGAAGGAGCGTGTCTCGCGGAGCATAGCATGCCGGTGATACAGTAGGATACAGTGCGCAAAACGTTCCCGCTGTCCCTTTCCATCGCGAAGACACGACTCGCCTCGGGCAGATCTCTGGCTGAACCGGCCGTGCATGCCAGATAGGTTCAATCTTCTCGCGCCCTTCCCCTCGCTTCTGGCAGAAATCTTCGCGGGAGCGCGCAGACCGTGTATGCGGACGTACCATAGTTGTGCGCTCGGAGATTCCCCGGTGTTTAGGGCGGAGTACGCGCGCATACCACCGACAGCAGAAGGTAGGCGGGAACGCTACTTGGTGATTTAGAGTGGCTCGAGGAAGGTGGAACAAATCGGAGAACAGCTGTATTTGTGGCACGGCCTTCCGTACGGGAGGAGAAACCCTCGGCAAGGTCGAGCACAAGTGCGCCCCGGAGGACACAAAATCGCGCGGATGAGCGCGAGAAGCGATGGCGCTGCCGAGTGCGATGAATTCAGTCCACAGACACATGGCCTTGGAGGCGCAAGAGAGTTCCAGTGGAGAAGTAGAGTGACGACTGGGGTTGCTGGTCGCAATGACGACAAACAGAGTTCGCACGGGGTCCCGATGGCGAGTCGGTAGTGCTATGCCGAAAGGCTACATGCACGACTGTATGTGGTTCGATGTTCCGGGAGGAATCCGGGAGCACCAGGGGTACGATGGGTTGGATCCACGAGAACTGCGAGAAGCACCGGTAGACTATCCTGTAGCGCATGGACGGGATCCAACGGTGTCAGCAGATTAGAGAACAAGATTGGTTCGGGTTCGTGAGAGCGAGTTACATGGACTCGAAGACGAGCTGCGCAATATCTGGAAGGGAAGGCGGGCGTGCGGTAGGGCGGATAGAGAATATGGAAGGAGGCACGTTGTTGAGCGGTATTATCTTGGGATGGCGACCGCGGGTGTCTTGCAGAATGACCGGTGGGACAAGCCTAACTGTATGTAGAATGTGCTCCTTAGTGCTTATGGGTATAGCTTCGAGACACAATCTGCGGATTGGTGTATCCTTCGCGATTTCGAGATCAAGGGACCAAATCGCCACAAGCAAGAGTTCGGCAACAATAGTCAGCTGTCTTTTGATCGACAGGCACTATCGTTTGCCTGACGGGAAATTGCTGACTACTCATCTGCAAGAAGAGGCAGGGGGATCAGGATTTGGCGGCCAATCAGAGACAAATTCCCATCCGTACCGTTGCTGCTGCACGTGGGTCCTAACTGTGCGAAAGCCAGGGGTGGCTGGCCAATGCGGAGTTTGTAGTCGATAGTTTTGTTCGCGGAGATAGACTTGAAGACGAGGCGGCCTCCTGGGGGATTGTCGTCGTCCAGGATAGGTATATGATGTAATGGCAGCCACCAAAGAAACGAGCGGTAGTGTAGGCGGGAGAAGGCAGGTTCTGGGCCCCAGCGAGAACGGGACCAGGTCGACATAGGACAGGGAGCGAGGAACAGCGCGAGAGAGGGAGTCCGTGATCTCGGAAGAACCGATGTGAAAGGTCGTGGCGCACTCGCGCTGATAAGTCCATTTAGGACGTGCCTTGCGAATTGTACTGGGACATGGAGGAAATCTGACGACTGAGACGTACTTCACGCCGGTAGCACGCGTAATTCGGACCGAATGAAGGGCGGATCTGAAACTGATAGGGATTGCACCGCGCACTACCGGACGTGGTGCAACAACAGGCGCAGAGATCTGTGAAGTGAGACGTGAGAATGGGTACCACGGTTACAGAGAAAGGGGATGTTACCCTGGGAAACGGAGCTCTGTCGTCTGCACAGAGTTTGGACACGAGGCCGAAGAGGTGACTTCGCCGTGCCATTGAAGCCGCCGCCGCCGCCGCCTCGTAGTCGGGGAAGTACCTGAATGGGTACAACGCGCCAATCCTACCCGAGACTTGGCAAAATTGGTGCCAGACGAGCGGTAGGGTGCACCGTAGGTGAACGGAGTGCATATGGGGAAATTAATCGGGGCCATCATTGATGATTCGCTCCGCAGCGCAATTTTTGGTGGGAGGGGGATGCCGCACAAGCGCAGGCTTAGAAGGCTGCACCCTTGGGAGTGCAGAAGACGGTGTCTGTTCTCATCCTGGATAGGGTCCTAGAGTGGAATGGGAAACATGAGGCGGAGTGCAGGTAAGGCCTGGTCCCAAAGTAATGTATTCAACCCGACACTCACTTGCGGACTTCTTTGACAAACTGTGAGAACAAGGGGTCCCAAAAGCCCGTCCGGCCTGTTCGTGCTGAGCTTACACAGGCACCTACTGACACAAAGCGGGACTCACTCAATATCCACAGAAAAAAGACGAGGCTGATACTACACACGAGTTATCCTGGTTTTCTGCGCGCGTATAGGTGCCTGACGCGGCAAATACAACGACTAACATCTCGAAGGATAGTGGCCGGCATAAGCTGGTGGCTCAGGCGAGCGCATTTGCGGTGAATCGTCGGTGGAGAAGACGCTGAGGGTGAGAAACGAAGAAACGGGACCGGGGAGCATGCAATAATCTCGGATATTTACATTAAAACTCCGAGAAAGGAAATCTGACGCGCAGTATACCGACCGCCAAACTGACGCGGCCCCCAGTCGCATATATTGCCCCTTGCGTTTCTGCATCCATCGTACATTTCCCCGTCTACTCTTTTCAACGCTGCCTCCGCTACTCCATTCGCTGTCTGAAACGATGCCCGACGGTTCATTTTCACACCCCCAGGAACGGCAATTCAACCCCTACACTGAAAATGGCGGCACCATCCTGGCCATCGCTGGTGCGGACTTCTCTGTCGTTGCCGGTGATACGAGGCAGAGCGAAGGCTACAGCATCCAGACACGTTATGCGCCAAAGGTTCACAAACTGTACGTGTTTCTCGCCAGATATTGCGCTATTTGCACTAAGTCGATGGCTGCAGAACGGACCGCGCCGTCCTCGCCGTCAATGGCTTCGCGGCCGACGGTAACATGTTTGTAAAGAAAGTGAAACAGCGTCTCGAGGTATTGCATACTGGCCTTTGTCACCGAAGCGTCAATTCTGACTGTCCTGTCCAGTGGTACCGCCATGCGCATGCGAAAGACATGCCGCTCCGTGCCATCGCACGACTGATTCAGACAATGCTCTACGGGCAGCGTTTCTTCCCATACTACGTCTACAACATCCTCGGAGGCATTGAAGAGGACGGTACGTCACTACTCTTCCGATGCGCAACGGGAAGCGCGTGCTTACCCTCGACGTTACAGGCACCGGCGCGATTTACTCTTTTGACCCTGTTGGATCATATGAACGCGAGACATGCCGCGCTGCGGGTGCGGCTATGGCCTTGGTGCAACCATTCCTGGACAATCAGGTGCGAACATTGCGCTACATACAGTGCTTTCCGATTCTTACCCGACTTTCGCCCGTTTGCGTCTGTTATCACAGATATACTTCAAGAATCAGCAAGCTCCAGCAGACTCACCACATCCTGTACATCTACCGCTACAGGATGTGCTTTCTATCGTCATCGATTCGTTTACCAGCGCAACCGAGCGCCACATTGAGGTCCGTTCTCTTCTGAGGCGTCTCCCCTGCGCTCCTTACGCTGACGCGTCATCTATGACAGGTCGGCGACGGCCTTGAGATCTACGTGATCCTTGCGAAGGGCCGGTCGGCTCAGGGTCTTGAAAGCATCCGCAACGTACAGGAGATGAGTACAAATCCCGAGGGCGATCGGGTGTTTGTCATACGTCGCGAGTTGAAGAAGGATTGAAATCATTGTATTATACTACTTATTCTGGACGTCGTCAATCGGCATGGACGGACAGACTCATCCTGTAACTATCTTGTATCTCCATCCATTCCCTACTCTATCTTGTCGTTAGAAGACAGGCGTAGTACATTTTCCCCGCTGTCTTGCGTTGCGCGCCGCGGCGGGTAATAAAAGTCTACTACGCGCTTTGCTGCACATACAACAAGAGCGTCCCGAACGCCGACAGACCCTGAAATAAGCATTGATCCGTAGATGCATCTCCCGTTCCTCCGGGCCAATCAGCGAGCAAGAAATTAGCCGACACGATGCCGAAGCTGGCGGCCCTTCCGCGAGTCGTTCTTTGTCCCGTGACACCGCGCGACATAAATCGCCAAAAAAGCTATCAGAGAATGTCCGTCAGCCATGCTAGTGCACCCTACTGAAAAATCTATCTGCCATGTATGTGCCGTATGTGACCAGGGATAAAGAATTGAACCGCTGCAAGACCTAGTCCTGTGACATTGACTCGGCGAGCACACGGAAAACGCGCCTTAATTCAATGCGAGGCTATAGTGGTATAATGGTGCAAGCAGGGGCAGACATACCGAAGCACATGCGCGAATTGAATATGCGCTGCAATCCTTATACGAAAGCACATTCAAGCCGTAAACCTCGGAACAACCGCTGAGGTTCGGTACAGCCGAGGAGCCTCTCGGAGACCGCGCGGCGCTGGCTTGGCTGTCGGAAATATGTGATCGAGTTGCGAATGCAGTGCGGGGGCATGCGCGACGCACGTCGATGTGCGCTGCTCGCGGGAACGCTTCGAATGCGGGGTATGAGCCGCCGGCAATTCCTCGAGTGTTCGTGCGTTGCAGCGTGCAGCGGCGCAGGCGCATGTGACGGCAATGGCGTGGTTCGTGCATTCAGATGGCGGATAGAAGCTCGTGTAAGGTAAGGTGGACGAAGGGAGCGAAGGTCGGACGCCCGTCATGCGACCTCTTGGGATACTGTGGGTGCGCTCGACGAAGGTGTCCTAGCACGGCGTCAGATCCATACCGAAATTTCCGTCAAATTGGGCCAGAAGCGGGGAATGTGGAGATCGTCTTCGGCTGCGAGAAGAAGGCGACCCCATCGTAAACCCTGTTATGTGCTGGAAGCATGAACGGAATGTCATGTGTGCACAGAATTGTAAGCACTTAGCCCTGAATTTCATTTATTTGTGGCAGCTTCTAGGGCGAAACCTTGCAGTAAGCTCGACGGTGAGGCCGTTATCTGTCGTGGCATAGAGCGTCGGAACACGACACTGTCATGGATCGTGCGTGGCCGAGTCAGCAGGACCAGCCGTGATGACCCACCTCGACTCGGTGATATTGCACAGAAGATTGCGCAGGGACTATCACTCTAGCATACCGCTGTTCTGGTCTCCGCGAGCCAGGTGAGCAGCGAGTATACAAAGTTGGCAAGCTCGAAGGCTGCTAAGGACCACGTTAACAGCACATGTTCTTGAGCCCTGCACACGGGGCATGGGTAGCAGCCGGGCTGAGATGTATGTGCTGACGAGCCAGAGCCTACGCTCCTCATCTGGGTCAACTCACCTCAAAATAATACAGCCGCTGCGTTTACGCAGTGATTAGGGCCATCCTTGGATGCTTCTTGGCCCAGCCAAGAACATGGGCGTGTCACCAGTAGTTGGTGGATGTTGATATCCTCCGGCTTCCCGCGTAATTGACGGCGAGGGGGTTCACGATCCTACGTCCAGAGCCAAAGTCAGATGTGAGTCAGCAACGCAGCTCCGCGGAGCACTCACCATGATTCGAGTTATCTGTTCGTTATCATCATCACAAGGGATGATATGCCACATGAAGTCCGTTACCTGGGCGCTTCTCTTCATGCCATTTCCTGAGCGGCTCTACGCCTCTCCACCAATTGGGGTCGACGACATCAGACACATGTCATGTTAGACTAGAAGAATGTGGCCGAAGTATTATCTCGCCTGGAGCTGAAATTCGAGATACCGTGTCGCTTCTTCCTGACAGTACTGTAGTCCAACAGCCTGAGAGGAATGAAATAGTATATAGTACTTTGCTAGAAGGTCATAGCCAAGATCCACGAGTTCCAAAACCGCGACTAGAAACTAGTAGAAAGTCTTACTGCCCTGGACTGCCAGACATGCATCTCGACAAGTAAAAAGGAAAGGAAAAAAAAACAGCTTCCCTTAGTGAGGCTCGAACCTACAACCTAATATTAGACTTGCGCTGTAACCACTTCGACCATGAGGCAAGCGCCTGGTGGCCATCGAAAAGTTATCCGACTGGCTGTGAACTTGTTGCGGGTTGTTCCGCTTTGTGCGCCCATTCTGTCGCTGCACTCGAGGTCACGAACGACAAATCTAGCACATCCACAACCATGCAACCCTCCCTTATTCGCCGCCAGCTTGGTGGTCTTGTTCCCCCAAAGGTCGCTTCGCCTACTCTCCTCGTCAGTATCTCGAAATCCGTAACTTTCGAAAATTTGACTTAAATGTACTCGCAGACCTCTGGCACAGGCTCTAGCCTCGCGCCACTCGTCAACTTCTACTCCAAGCTACCCAAGGGTCCCAGGCCCGCCTTCGCCTCTGGCGGTATCAAGGGCCGCTTTTTCAATGGCAAGAACGCGTCGGGTGCGCCGCTCGTATGGCTTATGGTTGGTATCTTCGGTCTTGGGTACACCATCGACTACCAAAGTAAGTCACCATATCCTCCATGTGGTTGAACCGGAGCTTATGTGAGAATTTCACCTGCAGTGCACTTGAGTACGTCTGCAAGCCCAGTATGCGCTTTACGTTTGTGTTCTCACTGTCTTCACGTTCCTCACAGAACACCACAAGAACCACGCCCACTAAGCGACGGCGTGCCAACTCGGGAACAGGGTTCGAAGAGCGGGGATTGCTTGTGGACAATACGAACGAGGCGTGCACATGGCCTCCTCCTTGTCGATGAAGCACCTGATATAGACATACATTCCCTCACAAAGCTGTCGATGCATCCAGTGCCTGTCTATCTTCTTCCCAGTGGAATGTGGCGAAGTGAACGCACCGCCTGACTTGGCAGGCCTCCATGTTACATTGAGGAGAACAGAGTGCTGTCAGACTTCTCGGTATGCGATACGTACCTCTTGCCGGTGTCTTCGTCTTCTCTGCCAATCTTTTTCTCAGACTCAGAACCTTCGTGAGAATGACCTCTGCGAGGATCGTGTCCCTTTCTGTGCACTGTATTGCATTGCATCCGATTCAAGACATGTCGTCGCGGAACGCATAGGAGTCCCGCCTCTTTGTACAGGGTCATGTTGCCTTGAAGCTTCCTTTAACCGTGGACATGATCTGACCCCGGTCAGCTGGTTAAGTTTACCATGAGTCTACTGACGAACTGACAGGCACTCGGTTGAGAGTTTAATACATCATACCATTGCATTTCATATAAAAGTTAGTTTGTCACCGAATACTAACTCTGCACACTTCTACCCACGAGAACTGTCTCGTGCACCATTGCGTTCCCTCAATTCGCCGCAACAGAGGGCAACGGTTTGCGCCACTGTCTCCCGCCGGTTACGGGACTTCAGCTTCGCAAAACTCTGCTGGGAGTGTGGTCTCATACGGATCACTTGGTAGGCGGATTTTCACTTGCCCCCGTGAACCCACGATTAACGTTCATGTCATGCAAAGCTTAGACTGGCAGTAATCTTCCGTGTGCCCCGCTTTCCGTGTCTCCTTTACGCAGTAAGCATCTGTCGAGTATCATGACGTGCAGACCACCCAGTGCCGCTACTCGATTGTACGCAGTACCTGGCAGCAATTCCGACGGTGCTCAATGCTGAGTAAGGTTACAATGTCTCATAGCTGGTGGATTCCTCTGATGCCTATGTAGATTCCCGACACTAGCGTAAAAGCAATCCCGCCCGACTGCCATGCAATTCTGAGGTTCTCGACATGGGAACAATCTTGCACCATCTCGCCTTGGCCTGAGTAGCCGGTTGTCTAGCTTATGAGCAATTGATGCGTTGCAATGCACCTCGCGTGTCAAGTCAGTACATTTACTTTGAGTACCGCCCATGCTCCCAGCATTCGTTTTGTTCGTTTTATCGCAGAGCTATCAGTGTGCCTCGACTCATAATTGCAAACAAAACGTTGAGCTGACCCTGACATATGTCGTAGGGCGCATCCCACCGTGCTCACCGCGCTTTCATTCCTGATTCCCTGCGATTACGATCCTGTTATCGTCGAAATGCCCACGACGTTCCGCAAAGCCGCCGCTTATCTCGCGTATTACTGCAATGGACGCCCGCCGACAATGTAAAGACGATGTTTTCCACACCCGCGTCCTCAGCAATGTACAGAACCGATATCCGGGGTTCCTATCATGCAAAACTAACTTCTCTCGCTTCAGAAGGTCATCTATCGGCGCCCCTATCACTAGCGCAGAGGCACCATCCCCGACGACGCAGATCATCTACCTTTACCCATGTCCGTTCCGAGCAGAGCGTTGAGATCGCGTGCTGATTCGCAAGGGAAGGTATGATATCACCACGCTTCGCATGCTTTATCAATGCTTGCGCAACTTTTGCAGTACGTTCCCCTCTCTCCACCCTCGCCCCGGGCTTGATAAATGCCTCTCCGACTTCCGCTGACTCAAGAACGCGAAGCACGGGTTTTCATAGCGAGCTGCACATGGCGAGATAGCGGTATGCTCGATTGTGCCCAGATAACGATCCCTGCCTGCGAACGCGATCCCCCATGGTAATGAGCACGGTGTGTCGTACTTTTGCTATCTGTGTTGTTCTATTCTCGTCGACGCTTCTCTTAGTGAAGCGTTGCATTACGGGGTTAAGGAAGCTATAGACTTGGCAAGGTTGGCCAACGGCGCCTGCAGGGTCGGCCTCAGAAGCAGCGCGAAGAGCACAGCATAGTCGCCGGACATGGGGAGGACATTCAGGCTAAACGCCAGTCTCGTCTGCGTTCCCCTTCTCGGCTGGCGCGGCGACTCGTTTTGTTCAGCCAACTTGTCTAATCTGCGCAACGAATCGGCTGAACTTATTCGTCTCAGCGGACCTGCCGTCCTGCCGGCCCCATCTGCCGGAGTCTTCTGGATTTCTACCGGGAGCGCCACGATCCCGAAGCGATTCTTTTTAGCTCCCGCACTTTGCTGTCCCTTTACCGGAAAGGTGTGTACTTTTTTGCCTTGGACGGGCTTTAGCACTGACAGGTTCAGTACTATGTGTACAGCCCCCATCGGCCTCATGTAGAACTTGTGTCGGTGGCGGTCGCACCGTGCTTCAGGCCGATGCTGTCGGGGCATACCGGAGGCCTCTCGTAAGATTCTTGGTTCGATGGCATCGCGGTCGCGCGGCCAGGGTCGACAAACGTGACGTATCACGCGGTTTTCTCAGACGTTCGCATGCCTATCGCGACCCTCGTCTCTCCCCCAAATGTGAAACTCTATTCCAGTGCGTGTCATACCTTGCGCGTTTTCGGCCAGCGGTGGTCGTGCAATGAGCTGACGGCCAGAGCTCCAAAATGTGCATTGGTAAGGTATCGAGTGACTAGATGCTAGACGGGTGACATTCCATTCTCGAGTGGTATGATACAAGTGTTATTATGCTGCAGCTCCGGAGTGGCGTAATGTGGAGATGAGGTTGTTGTGCGTGCGACTGGATTGGTCCATATTGCGAAACGACGGGGATTAGAGAAGAAGACGATATGGAGACATGAGACACGAGACGACGCGAGATATGACGAGCCAGACCATACGGCCGGATGCTCAGACCGGCACGCGGCGGGCGGCCGCTGTTCGGCATTGGAAGCAATCGTCGTTCACGGTGTCCACGTCCTTCTGGAGGTCTGGTCCAAAGTTCTGCGTTGATAGCAGGACGCGAAGATTAGCAAGTTTCACAAAGGGTATTGAGACGGTGCGCCACCACTTCCCGCTGCGGTGTCCCGACACTGACCTTTATACAAGCAGGGTCTCGGCAGTTCTTGGTGTGCTTCAGGCTGCGTTCGCATTTTTTCGAGTCGCAGTCTATGATGGCGGTCACCATATGGCGCTGGAAGTGCTGTCGGAGCGCGGTGATCATCAACTCAGGGTCCGTACGGTGAGCGTTGCAAATTTCGTACCCCACATTTCTGCCAGCGTGTTCCCTCTCTAAATGAACAATTAGTATGAGCTCCTGCAGCGCACACGCGGGACGTACGCGATCCTGCGGCACATGATTTCTTATGCACAAGGGCTCGAGAAGTAGACTTTTGAGATCTTTTGAGGATTTCGGGGAAGTCACAGATGGCTTGACTGAGAGAGCAGCCAGGCGAACTTCTTTGAAACTACTAGGGCACTGTCTGACGCGAGGCAGACCGGCAGCGTGCGGGCCTTTGGGGTGGGTGGGGGAAAAGAAGGGACAGGGAGTGGCCATCTCACCACCACACTTGTCATTTATGCAAAACCGGAGAACTAGAAGCGCTGGCACAAAATCAGAACCGTTAAAGCGGTGTATCGAAGTAGTCCGCATGGATCCGCTTTCGTCCTAGAACATATCATGAGATATTGATACTTCTTTCGACCTGGCACGGTATGACTCCGCAGGCCGCTCGCTAGCCGTTCTTGAACCCACTTTCTCTGCAGTAAATGAGCCCTCCTCTCGGGACTTTCCAGAGACTTTCTGATGATCTATTCATGTGACACTCGAGCTGTCGTGCTTCGTTGTGCGCCATCTCCGGCGGCATCCCTCATCTCCGTCACGCCTACCGGAGCGGAATGCACGCACGGTTGCCACTTCTTCGCAATTACTCGCGTAACAGAGTCTGCTGTATACGACATCCGGTTCGTCACAGGATTACTTTTCTGTGTCTTCTTAAATTGTAGGTGGATATGTGGAACCCGTGTACCTGCCACAGTTCTATCCGCCGCGCGGGTGCTATCAGAAAACCTCTATCAGCATTGTCCCGCTATTCGTGCCGAACGTCGACGTCTTCTCCAGGCAACATATGGACAGCAGCAGGTTCCAAGCTGTTCCAAGACTCGTGCGTCGATGCCGAAGCCCAAGCATGTTCGCCGTGAACACCATATCACCCCAAAGTACGGAGCAATTGTTCTCCCATCACCGTTCCTAGCTCCTCCGAGCCGTTGTTGGGACCTTGAGATCGATAGCTCACGTTCAGGGCCCAACGCTGCTCTATGTACTTAATTGCAACTTGGCGGTGTGACGTACAGCGGATTCGCGATACGGCACGACAGGCGCAACATCCGTGCAAGGAGGCAGAGATCGACGACCCTGCACACCGTACTGCAGCGTGAATGAATTGGGCACTCATCTCCGGACTGATGTGCCGTACGAAAGGTGGGAATGCGACAGCCGCACTCGCGCAGCACATCCGATAGCGCACTGGCCGGGCACGGCGCCCAGCGCAGAAGAGCCTCCTCCGGCACGCTTACACGTATCCACAGGCTGAGACCTTCCTCAGACCCCCGTCTTATGGATACAGTGTTCAAGCAATGTCTATGACTATGTTCGGTGGTGTGCCATCAGCATCACAGCCTGTATGTTTTTCACCAGAATCCCACGACCGCAGTGGGCACAGTCGGCGAGAAGCCCGTCGCACCCTGCGCAGAGAGCAACTCCGCTGGTTCGCGCCACCGCACCGGTCAATGCGAAACAAAGCACGGGTCCGTTTCAATTTTGCTATCACGGCAGCCTGTGTGAAAGCACCACGTTCACGCTAGTCAAACGGTACCAAGGCACGCTGTCCTGTCCGCGGTTGATCACTTGCTCAGCAAGCACTCACTAGACCGTGTCAACTTCCCGACTTGTTTCGGGGGCCAAGCACGGGCGTTGATGTACAGGATATTCCGGGACGTGGGTATATTTTATAGACAAAAACCTGCGAATATCAGTCCCGCCTGACGTGGTTATTATTGTCAACAGCCGCCCGCTTTGCTTTTGCCAGTGACACGACGACAAACTTGCGCGTCAGGAGGTTGAAGACACTCCCAAAAATGAGCGCAATGAGCGTGCAGCTCATGATGATCACGTTGTAAGGCATGCTGAAGTCCGGCACTGCGAGGTCCACTAGCAGCACGGATGTGTACACCCGCCGCAGCCGCAGCCGCCCGCCTGTCGCGTTCGCATCTAGAGGCACAAACACGGCTGGCGGAAGGTCCCATCCCCGGTGCGCGTCGGGCGGGTGCTCCGTGTATCGCAAGAACGGCTTCACGACGTCCATCGTGAGCTCGACCGTGCTGTTCGCTGGTAGCGTTAGGAGCGCCTGCAACAGACTTGGGCGCGCGTGGGGCACTGGTGGCGTGTACGAGATAATGGAGACGAGGTCATCTGCAGGGTCGTTAGAGCCGTGCCGTGCCGAGGCAAAGAGATACGCACCGCGCGGGATGCCATCACAGATAACGCGCAGCGAGTGCAGGTAGAACTGCAGCAGCCACGGCATCGTCTCCAGATAGCTCGTCTTGACCTCGGCCATGGCACTGTTGGTTAGCACCACGGACAAACGGCCCTTGTACTGGTCGGAGCCCTTGAGCGTCCGGCGGATCATCAACGCAGACGGCGGTGCGTCGAGAGCTAAGGGCAGTGTCAGCGATAATCGAAGCGCCTCTGTGGAGCACTGACGATACTCGAACCAGGCTTCGTCAGGCCACCGCATGCCTACGTCGAGCGGTTTATCGACTGTAGAGATCTGTCAGTTCGATCGAATCGATAGCAGCTGTTTCTACATACCCCGTCTGACGTCGTACGCGATAGATCCAGCATTGTTAGCAGACGGCGCCGGTTCCGTGATAATGGCACCGAAGGGAGGCACCTGCACCACAATGTCGCTGGAGCCGGCGACAGGACACGATCTTTCGATGGAACGATCGAAGAGCGAGCTCAGCGACCAATCTATCCAAGATTCAATCGATCGCCTCGGATAGAAAGAGTGATCGTACCTCGCTTCTTGTCACCAGAGTATCGGACCGGGTTCAGGACGGCTTGGAACGCGAGGCGCACCTCGATGCCGGCGCCTTCGAGGTAGCGGACGTGCACGCCCATGCCGTGCCAGTCTGCGTCAAAAAGGCGATGCGGATTCAACAGTGTGGCGATGCCTGAGCGCGCCTTGCAGGGCAGAAGCTTTAGGAAAGGTGTGAGGTTCTCGGTGCAGACGTTTTCCGAGGGCAGTGTACCGTGTCTGAGCTCATGAGACGTGGATGCCTGTGGCAGGTCGCCTTCGGGCTGGAAGGTCAGTACTGGCGACGTTGTGCGCTGTTCATCGAGAGAGCCAAGAGATGCGCAGAAGAGACCCGCGAGCGCATTTCGGAGGTTCTTCCAGCGTTCGTCAGCACTGCCAGGAGTCGGTCAGCTGCCACGGTCGAGCAGGTTTGGGCGTACGTCTGCATAGCTCCTTCGCCCATCCAAGCCCATAGCTCAGCACCCGTACCAACCCCTTCTTCTTCAGGGTATCCCCAGTTCTGGTAGTCCCATTTGCCCGCGTTTAAAGTCAAGTGCAGCTCAGTTATGGCGTTATCCCGCAGAATCTGGCCTAGAGCGAGAGGGAACAGCGTGTAATGCTGTGCTACGAATGGCCTGCTCAACACGGATAGATAATAGACGCGATTAGGCCAAGATACGCACATTCGTCCTCTTCTGCTAGCTTTGCGGGATCCCTTGGCTGGGCATCTCTCAAGAGCGTGGTGAAAGCGAAAGATGAGGTGACGGTGCCATCGCGATTCGGAGACAGAATAAGCCGTTCGCTGAAAGTTTCTTCAGCAGAACATATTGAGCAGACCGCAAACAGGAATAAGAGAGTCAAAATCATGGAGACATCGAGGATGAGAGTCGGGAGGGTGGAACGGTCGTATACCGGAAAGGCAACTGCCATCATTGATGTACGCGCCTTTCATGGAAGGAAATTTCCCATGATCGCCCTGCCTAACCGCATCTTCGTCTCGTTGGCCATCCTCTGTTGCCTGCAATCTCTCATGTATGGTATCGATGAACTTCGATGCCACCTTCAGGCTTGCGCATGTTGCCCTGAACTGGAAGAGTCTTCCACAGCGACCGCCGATACGTCGCACACTTATGGATGTGTCCTGAGTTTTCGTCCTACGTGTTACATTGTTGTTACGAAATAGCTCTATTGCCAAGACTATCCAACGAAACCCTCAGCACCGGACGTGAATATGCGTCGACAAAGATACCTGTACTCTGAAGTCGTCCGGGTCTGCATATAGAGACGGCTTGTTTACTCCTGGGAGTAGCGTGGAGCGATGAATGCCAACCGGCTACCTTCTGGCTGGGCTGAAAATATTTGACTTCTGTGCGTGGAAGTGCTATATGCATCGAGGCCCTTTCTCCACCCGGAACGCCTTGGTAAGTCATAATTCGTTGGCTCATGTCGAGTGACGCTAATTGCGACATAGACGTGCTGTAGAAACTTGCTGAGCTCTACAAGGGGTGGCACCTATATGGTGACGCTGCCTACGCCTTGTCATTTCCTGGCTCGATTAAGATCTTCATAGCGGTACCGTTCCAAGGCGGACATGCTTTATAGGAATGTTACTGTATCGCTCCGTGGTCAACCTCGAATTTAGAGGAAAACCTTATTGGCTTCTGAACCCGGGAGGAGGCCTATGCGGCGGACAGTGTCGCTGTCGCTGTCAACATCGCCGCCATTCGACTAGATTCGACTCTCACCACCTGGTTTAGCCATTACACGTCGTTCAGCGCGGACGCGCTACTGTTCACATGCACACTTGAAGCACTCGAGAAGTAAGTTGAGTTTCAAGTGTATTCTACAGCATATACGATATCGACAAGAAAGCACGATAGCAGAGCAAGCAACATAAGTAATTACAGCAGGGGTGCAAGAAATAATTAAAGCAGGGTAAAATCAGTCTTGATCGCTGTCAGAGCAATTCTTACTCTTCCTCCACAGCGGTGTCATGGCTTGCGCGACGACATTTCCTGCGGCTTCCAACTTCTTCCTTAGATCTTCATCCCGTACGCTAAGAAGCAGCCTCCGCGACCTCCACCTGTCGGGATGGAACCTGCGATGCGTCTTTTCAACGAGGGTTCTGTAGTCTCTCGCGGACATCATGAAGACGATCTCCTCGAAGAAGTTGTCCACCATGTCCCACGTGATGTCGGCCATATCTAACTGGAGCGGGTGCCGCAGCGTCGGCCAAGGGATACTCCACATTGTCAGTGGCTGGCCCTCGTTGAACTGGATCTTGTCAAACTCGCTGCTGACGAGCTTGAAACGCTGCAACGCGATCACTGCGGGCCACCAGGCGCCCGCGCCGCAGCTGACTCCGCTGTCGCGCCGCCTGCAGCGTTCCGTCTCCCGACGTACGGCCTCGGCGTATGCTTTCTGTGCGGCCTCCGCCTCGCGACGAGCCGCTTCTTCTTTTCTGCGCTGTTCCGCCGCCTGGCGCTCCGCCTCTTCCTTTTTCCTCCGTTCCTCCTCTGCTTTTGCCTTTGCTTCTTTAGCCTGCCGCTCAGCCTCCGCCGCCCGCTTCTCCGCCTCGTATTGCCGCTGTGAAGCGTAGAACTCCTGCATCCTGCGGCGCTCTTCTGCCACTTCGTCTTCATGCGAGCTCGTTGCTCCCTCCGGGCGTTTATCCCGTTCTTCCTGGGTGCGGAGTTCTTCCATCCGGCGTATGGACTCCCGAATGTCGTCTCGGACCTCCTGTTCCCCTCTCGCAGTATTTTCATCGTTGGGTAGCTTGGCAGCGGCATCCCTGGCGGCTTGCGCGTTGCGTCGGGCGGCTTGTCTGCCGTCG